CTATCTGTTGACTATATCCTCAAGTTAAAAGATTTGCAAGAAAATAAATGTGAATTATGTCTTAATGAAATGTTGTGGGAATGGGATGTATCAATAGATTCAGATCAATGGACAGTTGATTGGATTAATAATAATTTAAGACATATAGAAGGAAATGTACATCTCACTTGTTTAGAATGTAACCGAAATCATCGAACCTAATTCATGGCAGTGAGTTAGATTTAATGATAATGGTATCTACTTATGTACCTCTGACACTAGCTCTATTATTAAGATTTTTTTTTTTCATAAGTAATAAATATTCAATATATTGACTCAATACTAGATGACTACGATCTCAAATATAAGAAAGAGTATAATGAATTTATCAAAGAATATAAATGGAGAGATGAATGGGATATTGATAACCACGAATTCACTTCTCAGTGGTATGACTGGAAAGAAATTTTTGTTATGATCTCAGAATATTGGAATGAGAAGGTAATTAGACAGTGGAAAGAAAAGGTACTTCAACAATTTGTATATAATTTACCTAATATAAAAAATCCGATATCATTATTCAATACTTTTATAAATTCTGATGACTTTAAGTTTCCACAAATATTGAGCTTGATAGAATTGACAGATTGGAGAGATCTTGAATATGACATATGGACAGGATATATTGTTAATAATGGAGAGACTATCACAGTTCAGAGTAGTGATCATCAAATGGAATTATATTGTCGAAATATAACTTTGAATGAAAAGGTAACTAAAAACAGATAAGTAATATATCAATTAAATAAAATCCACACATTTGTGATATACAATATGTATACATATAATTCACTTATTATTCTGGATACTATTGCTGAAATCGTTCAGAAACTTTCATTGAAAGATCTCAACAAATTCTGTTGGATAAATCGCACTTGGTACAAAGAAATTCAGTACGAACTCCGAAAAAGATGGGAGATACAAATATTAAAAGGTTATAAATTAGAACTTGAAAGAGATAAAAAAACGAGTGAAGCACAAGAAAAATATTTGGATGAAGAACTTCAAGGATATATGGTATAGGGTTTGGAGCTTAAATATCAAGAAAAGATACTTGAGAGCACTAAAAAATAGGTAGAGATTGAAAAGTATATGCTTATTAATGGAATGATAAGTAAATCAGAAAAGGAGATCATTAAATATAATATACAGCAGATTGCAGAAGAAATAATTCCGTGGGATATTATAGAAGATTGGGATTTAGCAGAATTAGAAGAATAGGATGATTTACCAGCATTGATCGAACAAAATTGACTTATTAATTTCATTCCGAGATTTTTTATTTATCAAATGTAGGGAAAGCGAGTCGACCTACCCATCCGCCATATATATTTTTTTCGGTTAGCCCCATACCTCGTAGAGTATCCTTTGGGCCTGATTAACTATTAAATAAAAAGCCTTAGATAATAAAATCCATACGTTTGAGATAGCAAATATACAATATAAGTTATAGCAGAGTAAGAGATAAGTTAAGTGAATATGCTGAAAATTATATTGTTAACAATATTAAAATGTCAGAAGCATGGTTACGGTTTGTAAAATATTATTCACCAAAATATATACGCAATCGTTTATTAAAACTAGGATATAAAATAAATAGTAGAGATTACTGGGAAAATTTTGTATTTTGTATCAAAAATAATTTAACCAGCCATAAACAAATAGGTAATGATCCTGAATATAGGAATTTTAAAGTTCAACTAGCATTATATAAAAAAAATCGTGCATCATTAATTATCCAGCAGGCATATCGTTTATGGAGAAAACAAATTAATTCAGCTAAAATAATTCAAAATGCAGTAGTTCAATGGTTTTATCGATCCGATGGATCATTTATGCAACAAGCCAAAGATCAATATTATCTAAATGTGAATAAGCTTAGTTAAAAATACTAATTTCGTTCGTGATCATGATAATCATATTTTTTAATATGTTTCTATTACCTGTGACATGTATTCGAGTTACAGAGTTAATCATAGGTTAGATCCACATGTTTCCGTGTGACCTAATTTCTATATAAAAGTTTGTGAAACATTCTTGTGTAGTATAGATGACCGTTATACGTATTTTTTCATTTTATTTTAGCCTGAAAAAACGTCTATATCACATATGCTTTGCGATAAGAACATACTAAACAAAACTCAAAAAGGATATAAGAATAAAAAGCCCGTTGATTCCTATCAGCATTGTTATCAGAAATTGTGAGTTATGGGGTTTCGAAATCTCCGCAATTCCAGATCGTCAAGCTAAAGAGATTTCATTCAAGCGTCTATGACATAATGCTAATTACATATGGCAACACTTTTTATAGAGGCTGAATAATAACAGGTTTGAAGATTTCTCTGTTTCTGGTATTTATATAATTTAACTATGCTATGAATTGGAGATTTGATTGATAAGTGTCAGATCATTCTAGCAAGTTCCGAGATAAGTGAGTGAAGCAATATAAAAAAGCAGAACCATTTCGCTTTGTAAGGTTAATAACGACATTATTCTGACTTCATCATTTCTCTCAGTATCATTATATTAGCTACACTAAAACAAAGCCATATTTTTCGTAATTTTTATAAGGTTCGTATAGTTTATTCTCGATAAATACATTTTCATTTGATAAATTTTTATAGTTATAGAACCATCTCATAAATAGTTTTCTCTATAATAGTGATATCCAAAATGTCTTTTTCATATTCGAACGGAGAATCACAAATCTATACCATTGCCAATAAAAACTTCAGAGTAAAGATCGAAAAATTGAATGAAGATATCACAAGGGTATTTTTTGTAAACTAAGAAAATAACGAACCAATTAATATTCCAGATGGTATGGTTTTCAGAAATACAACAACTAATATAGATATACCACCAACGGTTGTTAAGGATAAAGAAAAAGAAAAAGAAAGTTATCTCGTGACTTGGATGTATAGCTATGAATTAATAGAAAATAGTGAAATAATTTTTAAGTTAGAACACAAAAGAGAACAAATTGATAATAGTGATAGTAATAGAGGTAATACTGGAAGTTTGAAAAAGTATATGGTGAAGAATAAATAGATTTTTTATCAGATAATATCTGTGCATTTCATGAATATGTATTCGCAAATTTATTTTTGTATCTGCCTTACTATGGGCAATATTTTTTATTTTGTTATAATAAAATAATTGCACATCAGGCGTAGCTGTTTATTTTGTTGCACGTGTATCACTTGATTAATAGATCATCATCCACCCTGAATCCACATGTTTTTAGTGCAACCTAATTTCTCACATATACACCTATTGGGTATTTTTTGTTAATTTTCATGTTTTTCGCTGATCATAAAACTCACCTTTCCATTTCAATTTCGCTATAATAGCGGAGCTAGTGTCTTTGACACATAAAAAACCTTACCTATCTTTGTACCATTTCGGACGTAATGCTATTTCGAGTTGGAATATTTTTTTCGAAAGACGTATGAACAAATATATGAGAGCGTACGAAAATATATAAAAGTCCGTAGTTCAAGAACTTATCTGTTTTATGTAGGCATTATGCCGAGAATGGAAAAAGTCTCAACTACTAATCTAAAAAATCTCACATATAGCATCCTAAAAAACTTCAACGACGATGTAGTCAAAAATAAGAAATTCACCGAGCTGCCTAACTGTATAAAATGCAATAAAAAGATTTTTTTCACCTCCAATAAAGCATTCACAACGCTAGTCTGCGGACATGTTTTCCATAGAATCTGTATCGAGAAGAAACTCCTGCTTATAAAACCAAATGGGTGTTCCTTCCCCGAGTGTGAAGCAAGTGTCGAGACTATTACTGAACTCACCACAACTGAAACGGATCTTAGGCGTGATTCTCAATTCAGCACTTCGTCAATAGTTGGGAAGATAGGAAAGCAACTTAATATCCAGTCTCAAGAAATTATTGATGAAGAAATGTCAGATGTCAATAATGGGGAGGGTAAAGATAATCAACTGAGGGATAAGAGCATCGTCATGGTAGAAGGATCCCAAAAAAGACCCATCGAAGTTGACACTGAAAAGACAAATACAATGCAAGATATATCGCCTATTAAGAAAGCAAAAAAGAAAGTTAAAAATGAGAATTCCTAGATGCTAAAATGACTTATCAAAGAGTTAACTAGTAATAGTCCGCATATATCTGAAATTAGCAAAGAAACGGTGTCTGGGTCATCTGAAGATTTACTTTATTTATATAATAATATTACTAATTCTGAATTGTGAAAAGAGATTGCAAGTAGAGAAGTTATCAGGTCATATTTTTTGTTTGGGAAAGCGGTATCGCAACGTTTTGAGTATTATTATGAAAAATCGCGTAATTTACATCAAGCTCAAATAGACATTAACGAATGAGCTAAAACGAAAAACTTCTTGACACTTCTGAGAATGTCCATAACAAAAGAAAGGAAAGAGCCCGGAAAATTTATTTCCTTTTCAGTAGTATAGGTATCGAAAAAATAGAATTAGTAAAATCTTTTTCAGTGGATTCTATCTCAAAGCTAAGTGTAGAAAAAATCAAATATATAAAGGACGAAATCATAAAACTGCGCCACAAATTATGTGACATATATAAATCAAGGATTCGTTATTAGCAAATAATGTATTGTCATATATAATAAAGTTAAAATTCGTCTACTTGAATTATAAGTGATTTATATATGAGATATTTTATATACACAAAAAATAAGTTAATTTATGGTTGACAATAATAAATTTTTCAGAAAAAATATGCGCTAATTAGATGATCTGATTTTTGTAGATTTATCAGTATATATAAAGCTCCTCATAGGCCTTAAGGCTCGTGAGCCTAGCGAGCCGAACTGATCCAAGTCGAACCGAGCCTGATATTATAAGCTCATAGGTCTGGCTCACAAGGCTCGAGTCTTAAAAATTTTGGGGCTTTAAATAAAAACCCACATAATTTTTTTTTAAAAAAAAATTATCCATTGCTATTAAATAACAACGGAAAAAATCAAATTAAAAAAGCGATCCGTTGCTATTTAAAGTGACAGATCGCTAAAAAAAATAAAAAAAAGTAATCCGTCACTATTTAAAGTGACGGATCGCTAAAAAAAAAATTAAAATTTTGTGGTTTTATTTAAAAGCTACGAAATTATTTCTATCAAAAAAAAAAAGCGATCTGTCGCTATTTAAAGTGACGGATCGCTAAAAAAAAAGTGATCTGTCGCTATTTAAAGTGACAGATCGCTAAAAAAAATAAAAAAAAGTGATCCATCACTATTTAAAGTGACGGATCGCTAAAAAAAAAAATTAAAATTTCGTGGCTTTATTTAAAAGCTATGAAATTATTTTTTAAAAAAAAAAAAGTGATCCGTCACTATTTAAAGTGACGGATCGCTAAAAAAAAAATTAAAATTTTGTGGCTTTATTTAAAAGTCACGAAATTATTTTTTTTAAAAAAAAAAAGTGATCCATCGCTATTTAAAGTGACGGATTGCTAAAAAAAAAATTAAAATTTTGTAGCTTTATTTAAAAACCACGAAATTATTTTTTTTAAAAAAAAAAATGATCCGTCGCTATTTAAAGTGACGGATCGCTAAAAAAAAGTAATCTGTCACTATTTAAAGTGACGGATCACTAAAAAAAATAAAAAAAAGCGATCCGTCACTATTTAAAGCGACAGATCGCTAAAAAAAATATTAAAATTTCGTGGCTTTATTTAAAAGCCACGAAATATTTTTTTT